GACGGAACCTGACCCGAGGGGTCAGACCCGAGGTGCATGAACTAAGGTTTTAATATAGGCGCATGAGCGGGAGTTAAGAACATTCTCAATTATTTAGTTCGAGCTCCTATCCAAAAATGCGAAAGAACTTTTCCCAATTTTTGAATTAGCGCTCGAGCCAAATGTCAAAAAGTTGAAAATATTGTCGTTTTTGAGCAGATCGCAATTTTTTAAAATTCCATTGAAAAACAGCGGACTTTCTTGGGATTCTATCAGTTTTTATGCAGAAAGTTGACACCACTGCATCAAAATAAATGCCGCATGAGGGCACTACACTCATCCCAATATGTAAATAAAATATGTTTAAAAAATTTGAAACGTTCTTTTTTAATCGTTCAAAACATTTCTTTTTTTCACATTATTCCGAAGGCATACCTGTATGTAGAATCATATTTTGAACGATAAATAGTACGTTGCAATATTTAAAACTACTTTAATTCATATTTTTTCGCGCTCAAACCCATTCAACACGTTTATATTTGCATTAACCCTTTATCACATATCGGTTGCTAAAGTAACCAGATACGCCAAACGCTATAACTACAAAATTACTGAAAATTTTTGCATACTGGTTTGGAAACAAATGTAGGGAATTAAATCAGCTTTCATTTGATACCTTACTCATAGCAATTTGTTCACTAATATCGAGAGTTTTTTAAGTTTATGTACTGCTGTAAAAAAAATGCGAAATTATAGCAGAATCCCAAATTTTTCATCCCCTCATCTTGTGGGTTTGTACATTCTTTTCAATTGTCATATTATGACTCATAGGAGCAAAACACATCAATTTAATTTTCTGCATCATTGGTTCTATGAAATTTAATTTTTTCAGGCTGTTATACCGATATGACACTTTTGACTCTTTTCCGATTTCCTCGGTAAATATGAAATTTTTCAAAAATCTAAGTATGGGGTTTTTCTCTATCGTGGCACATAACATATATCGGAATCATTCAAAAATAAAAAATTGTGCATCAAAGGGTTAATGTTAAAATAATAAAAAGTAATAAAAAAATTAACCTTCTGACTGTGTTTGGGTAAATAGAACATGGACTGTGTTTAGTGAGATTTTTGTCACTTACGTATATATAAAAGAGAAATAACATTTCAATATTTTGCTTTGAATTTATATGATATTCGATTGAATACAATATTATCTTCATTATTTTTGCATTTATTTATATCAAATAACGCTGCAATCTATTCCTTGAACCATCCGAAAGTTCTATGTGTAGTGGCTGCGTTTGACATTCAACTGAATTCTGATTTTGTGATTTTTCTACTCGCCACAAATCTACAAATATGGAAATTGGCGTTAAATTTTTTAAATTTAGCTGTCAGCAGAACCACGTCTAATCTGTTGACGTCATTATCGCTTCAAAAATTCTGGAAGTGGAATTTGGTCGATCCTCAGGATTGTTCAAAATCGCTCCTAGTTCTTGAAGTGGATCCTCAGGATGGACCAGGGCATTGTCAAACCCACTCTGATCCATCCTGAAGATCCACCAAAACCCACTTCCGGAACCGGGATCAGTTCTGAACGATCCTGAGGATCCACCAAAACCCACTTCCAGAACATAATGTTCAAGGTGAATATGAACAAAAACAACGCATTCGGGCAATAATACAAAATATTTGAAATCTAGCGTGAATTTTACATGATTTAAATAATACGAATAGATTTTGCTAAATAAAATTTGGCGTGAAGCCCCTAGGATTTTAACTGCATGCCTTGAAAATTGTGTTGAAAAAAAACTTTTTCAAAAATTTAGAAAATGAACATAGATCGCACGATGATAACGAGAGGGCGAACAATTGTAGAGCGCCGCTACAGAGTGATGACAACACTTAGTTCAAATTTGTTCGCGCTCAAATTCACTCCGTCATATTCATTAATCGTCACGGATTATTGCGAAATCATACGACAAACAGCAAAACATGTAAAATATGTGCGGATTTAATTTAAATTGTAATTTATTTTATTTCAAATTTATTTTTTAATTTTTTTATTATTTTTTTCACTGTTTCGACATGAAAACAAGAATGAATATGACGGAGTGAATTTGAGCGCGAACAAATTTGAAATTTTTTCTTTCGCATTCTGCCGTTCTCCAGTAGTGGCGCTCTACTATTTCACACTCCATGTTTTACATAGAAAAATTGACATAATATTGGGTGACATAGATAGAAATTCAAAGTTTTCAATTTTTTCAAACGTTTTTCAAATGGGCAATGCGAGTTAATGTCGCATCCCAAGTAACGAAACATTTGTTCTCATCGATTCGCATGTGGTACTTGAGTTTCAATGTCAAAATGTCCAAAAAGGGGCGCAAGTGTGTTTCAATTCCATGCAAATTTCCATAAATCTGGCTTCGATTTCGAGTTTTTTACATTTTTGCATTTAAATTTGCAAATGTATTTCACAACAACAAGACTCAACGATAATATACCAATAAAAATGTGAAAATATATCGTGAAATAGGCTGCAAGTGAAAGAAACTAGCGTAATATTCGTATTTTGTAGTTATTAGAAGCAATTGTTTGCACGGAAAATTATTCCGTACTCTTCACATTTTCTCACAAAAAATTATGATATATTATCACAGCCGGCGACAGCAGGCGCGAGTGACGAAAGCACCTCTGTGCTGAAAGTCGAACTCGCCTATATATACACGCAATTTCGAACTTTTTTCCTAAGAGGACATCTGGTATGAATGAAGTATCGCTAGAAAGCCTCATAGGACCAGAAAATGCATTCAAACTTGGGAATCAACCAACCGCCTCCATAGAAATAGCCACTTGAAATTTTTTTACAATCACCAGTTTTTCCCATTTACCGGGTGTTGAACGCGGCCCGTTCATCTTGAAACATGTTTTTTCTGAGTCTACTCGTCGAGACCTTTCCAAAAAGCCCAAGAACGTCGAAATTGGACCATCCGTTCATGAGTTATGACGATTTAAAAAATTTCTTTGGCGTCTCCACCAATTATTCTGAGATAATATTTTTTCTGTCCGTCCGTCCGTAGTTTTTGCCCGATCTTTTTTAAACTTTCAGGCATTGAAGTATATCAAAAACTAAGACTTTTTTGTTCCGACATTTTTTGATTTGGCCGCCATCTTGGCCTTGGCCGGCATTTGAAAATTCAAAATATGGCCTTCTTTCCAATGATCACTGTGCCTAACCCAGTCAACCGAGTTCAAACTTTTGGATGTCATTGGAAAGGTCTTGAGGCCAGCTATCAAATGACATCTATTTTAATTTGAAAAAATTGAGTTGGCATGAATGGACAGAAACCCAAAAAAATGGACACCTGGCCTTGCATAAATCGGCCATTTTCTCGAAAACGGCTCCGACGATTTTTTTTTTTAAATTCTCTGGAATTTAGCCCCAAGTTAGAGCTAAAATTTGACATATAGCTTATATCTGGCAAAACTCTGTGTTTCGAGATATAGCCATTAGAAGTTGGAAAAAACATGAAAAATCGACAAAAATCGACTAAAACTCATTTTTGTTGCCGTGAATAAGGGAAAAATCAAAACCAAAGTGATTTTGCGTTCAGATAAATAAAATTCCTTCAGATACCAGTCTTTCACTAAGTCTTTTTACTCCACGCAATCAACAAAAAACACAAAAATCACTTTTCATGAAAAAATCAAAATCAAAATCAAAAAAATTCATCATGAAAAAACTAAACATGTGATAGTTTCTTAGTAAAAAAGCGATATGTAATTTCATCAAAACAAAATGTAATTTCGTCTGTCCGTCCAAAAACCAAATTTTATTAAACGAAAAAAAAATTTAAATTGCTTTCCTACCTGTGCTGATTTTGCTTTATTCAAAAAGGCGACAATGCTGGTTTTTAACATAGGGAAAGTGCCACAATACATTTCAAATTTAAGTCATTTGACACATAGCAGTCAATGCCATCTCAATTCCAACTCATTGAATCATTGTATTTTTCGGCAACTTTTTTCAAACGTGTATGGCTTTACTAGAATATAATCAACTTTACGGTGACGCTAACAGCTTCTCTGTGGGCCGGTACTACGCGTTAGCCAAAACTTATTGATGTTTCGCAATGGTTACTCGATGCATTTGCCAAAATACTATGATTTTTGTACTCTCTTCTACAATATGTGTGCACGTGCAGACTCTGCACTGCAGAGAAGCTGCTAGTGTCGTTGTAAAGTTGATTATATTCAACTCAAGCCACACACGATTTTAAAAAAGTTGCTCGAAATATTCGATGATTCAATAAGTTGGTTTAGAGATGTCATTGGCTGTCTTTTGGTATTCCGGCAATATATTTATGGTTTTTAACTACAACATTTCATGTTTCATTTTCTTTGGCTCAATACACACCACTTTGTGTTTGTTAAATGTAAGTTGGTTTTGTTGAAAAAAAAAATTCGGGTACAAAACAAATAAAAAAATCCGAAATCAAATAAAAAAAACTTCTTTCGAAGTAATTCCTTGTGACGAAAGCGAACATAAAACAGCTGATATCAATTTTAAAAAATCATTTCGGAGCGATTTAGATTTGCTTTTTTTGCATTCTTCCAACTAATTTCAGAATCGCACCGTAATGATTTTTTAAAATTGATATCAGCTGTTTTATGTTCGCTTTCGTCACGAGGAATTACTTCGAAAGAAGTTTTTTTTATTTGATTAAAATATAACAGTAATGCCTGATTGTTGTGGTATAGTAGGCGTACATACTTAACTAAGAGGGCAGAAGTACCCATGTAAGTAAATAATTTTTTTTCAATTGAAATAAGGGTATTGAATGTATTGATGCTAACTTTATGCTATTTTTTCTCCATTCCATGCACAATGGATCACTATGACGGTTACTTCTACGGTTAAATCTATCCCCGTATTCAACATTGGATATGTGCCTGGAATCGAATGCATTTGGGTTGATAATTGTTAGATGGGTCATAAGAATAAAAAAAATTGATCGTTTTATTATTTTATTTTATTATTCAAAAGCAGCAAAAATAGTGAAATACAGTGAAAAATACATTAATTTTATTATTCATTACGAACCACAGAGAACTTTATTCCAGTAAAAGAAGACATGGCTGGAATAAGGAAAGTCAAGTTGGATTTGGGTGTATTGCAAAAGGAATTTTACAAACCAGATCAGAACCCGAAAGGCACTAACTTGTGAAATTTGAATATTTGAAAAAAGTAATTTTTTATGAAAATAGTACAATTTTATTGTGGGTTATAATTCAAAATTGTTTTGGAATCTACTGATGATCGACCGAAAAATTTCAAAATGTCTAAATAGGTACGAATAAACCAAAATTGCAATGAAATTTTAGCTAATTGGAAATCAAATTTGATTCGTCGAATGATCCACTTGACTTTTTGAGTAAGATTGAAATTTGATGTATTGTAAATGCATCTCTGCGCGTATTTGGCCATGACTGTTGGTCTATCGATCTATTAAGAAGAGAAGAGAAAAGAATTGAAGTATTGCTCACTAATTAGATGAAAAATTGGTAATTACAGGATCTCCATGATGTCGTGCAATCGCCCTGACGGTGTTCAAATTTCTAAATATTATCATGAATATAAATTTGTTGTACTTGTAATTACGCATTTGGGTATTTGATCATCTTTACCTGATAACGAATAACATATTTCGAGGCATTTGTTTAAGTGTTTCTAGAACAACATCAAAGTGGCGCTTTGCATCTGCTTGAAAATAAGCAATATCTTCGTCTGTGAGACGAGTTGTAAATGTAGGTCTCTTCATATCGATTGGACGTTGCATAAGAATTTCAGCTAATTTATTGGAATCTGTGGACATACAAAGGTTAAATTGAGATTTGTGTTATCTACCTATTTAAGTATAAGTGATAAGTATAAGTTTTATACCATTTACATGAAGCTCTTTTGCATATTTGTCCATTTTTGCTTGGTCTTTTAGTACGATTGCTTCCCAGAACTGACATAGTGACAAGCGTGTTGAGCTAGTGAGATGTTCATACAGCCCATGATCCAGTAAAACAATCTCTGGCTTTCCATTTTGTCTTTTACGAATAAATAGGTTCCCCGGATGTGGGTCACTATGCACAAACCCTGTATTAAATATTTGTTCGGAGAATACCTTGAACAGTTTTTTGTCGATATCAGCAATGTCAAGATTGTCTTTTTTTATGCGATTTAAGTCACTTATTTTATATCCATCAATCCATTCAGCTGTTAGCACCCGCTGAAAAAATTGAATTCCAATAAAACATACATATGAACCGTTGCGACAAAAAATGCTGGAAAGGTATAGTAGTTCGAAACTGTTTTTCGAAACAGAACCGAGTGTAGAATAGTACCTTTGAAGTAAGATTCCATTCGACAGTTGGTACGTGAATAAAGTCGAATTTCCTGAGCTCTGTAGCACACCGTTCCGAATTTTTGCCTTCGTGAACGAAATCAAGCTCCTACAATATTATTAATAATTTACATTTCGAAAGTTTAAAAAAAAGTTTTTTTTATAACCTGTTCCAAATTTTTTCGAAGATCACGGAGAATCCAACCAAAATTATAGTTTTTATGAATTAATTTAATTATTTCTTGAATACACAATATTGTAGCAAAATCTCCGGAAAATCTGTTGATTAAATCTATGTACTGTATTTTTACGGCAACATCATGACCATCTTTAGTTTTAGCCCGAAACACTTGAGCTAAACTAGCTGCTGCGATTGGTTTGTAGTCAAATTCAGCAAACAATTCCTCGGGGGATTTTCCAAATTCAATTTCAAATACCCGTTTAACTTCATCCGACCTCCTTGGTAAACACTCATTCTATAATAATATTCAAAATATTTAACCCGCGGACAGCCAACGTGTTTTGGTCAATAAACGGCCAATCGTTATAAAAAGTGATTTTTCTTCTATTTTTTCTCAGATTTTAATAGGGGAAGGTGGGGAAATTTGGAACACACATCGAAATAATTTTATAACATTTTAAAAATTTAACATTTTTCCAAATTCTAAAGTGGTACGACTCAGTAAATATAAAAACCTAACTTTTGGACCTTACCGCTTGTTGAAATTCGAATCGGTTGAAAAAATTTACCCTGTTTGCAGAAAACAATTGATTTTTCGATTTTTAAAAAATGGTGAGGAAATTCGAAACACTTCATAAATGGATAGAAAATAATTTCGATGCAAAACGTTTATGGAGAACTAGGAAATGACACAAGAATCAATTTTAATGAGGAAAAAGTTCAAAAATAGCAATTGTTATTAGTCGGATTTGAAATTGTTGCCTGTGAAATAGCTACCAATCATTTTGATGCATTTCAAGTGGACAGCTCGATCGCATAAATTGCAATGAGTAATTTGTCAAAATTTTGCATTAAATATAATAAATATGGGACGAGGGGGCTATTCGCTCCATCGGCCTTTTCTCGACACAGGCAATACATATAAAAAAAAAGTTCCAGTATCATTCGAAAGAGCATTAAAAACTCCATATTTGGTTGGTATACTCGACATTTTTCATTCGAATACAGACAATTTACAGATCCGAAAATGGCAAAAGTTTTGGAATGTTGAGGCAAAGCCCCGGATTGATTTTGATATTCCCATGCTGCAACATGAGCCTCAGACTGATGACCCTAGAAATGGTTTTTGTTTGAACAAACCGATAAATAAACCACTCAGAACTGCTTATAACTCATATCCAGGGCAACCAAAAATATTTACGAAAAAGTCCAAAATATTTATGTAAATATTTATGAAATACCGTCGAAATATTTATGAAGAAGTCCAAAATATTTAAAATATTTTTACTAAAAACCATTATATTTCAGTATAAATAGTAAATTTTTGGTGTTTTTCAAGTAAAGTACGTTATTTAAAGACAAATCAAAGCTATTGCAATAAATTACGACATGCATTTTTAAATTTTCGAATGAAAACGAACGACGTTGATCTCCCAGAACTGGCACTGGCTAAACGTACGCAAAAAATGATGTTTAGCCTCATAGGCTATTCGTACGAAAGATCTGAGGAGTTCGTACGAATAGCCTGTGAGGCTAAACATGCGAAGCGTACGAATAATTTTTCCCGTACGCTTAATCATATACGCTATTTATACGAAACATAAACAAATTGTCAAAAATAGAAAAAAACGACAAATGAAAGATACCTAATCCGAAATGCGAAAACAAAACCAAAACCAAAAGAAAAAGAAAACGATATTCATTATAACATAATTTTATTTGTATACACACTAAATGTGTGTATACACACA